CTTCATATAAATAATTGATCAGCCAAGTTAATTTACTTCTGCCTGACTTGGTCAACCTTAATTAACTGCTCTGGAATCAAGACTGAACTTTTTGTTAGCTTAAAATCTTTCACAAGCATGATAACAAGGGCTTTATTTTCCCTAAATTTTCAGCATCAACACTGTAACCAAGGAAATAATCATAATAATAAAGCCACGCTTTAATTTACTATAAATACATTGGCCTGGACATTATGAATTTTCCAGAAGGCTTCCACAGAGCAGCTCTGTTGGCAACAACAATAAACAAGCATGCAAAGCTCAGTTCTTATCCTTTTTCTGCAAGTTCCCCCAGAACAAAATGGAGTATTTGAAATTGCAGGCTCTGCCATAGTTCTAAGCAAGAGGAAAAATGGATGCTTTGGGCTTCCGTATGCCCACCTCCCAGCTGCTATGGCATGGCAGAGTCGGCCCTTTTAAGGTAGCAGTAGATGAATTGGGTGTTTTAAGCAGGTCCTGCTCATGGGGAGAAGCTGTAAGGGAGATGGGGTAAAGACTTGGCCTCATTCTAGAGACTGGACAGGTTAATGGGTATGGCTTGCTGAGTCCGCCATGTGCCTGGCCATCACATTCAAGCACCATAGACACAATAGACACGTTGTGTCATATTCTCAGTTTGTCATGGAGCAAGATGGTCCTTTGGTAAGCGGGGCAGAGGTTATGCAAGCAGAGTTCCTGGGACACACATGCTTCCCCTAAGAAAAGAGGGTAAAGTGCTTCGTAGTGGAGACAGTCTTCTCCCAGCCATGTGCTTGTTGTCAGCTGACTTTGACTGTGTAAAGTCAGAAGAAAAAGAAAGATTCAGTTGTTTCCTTGAAAGGGCTCCTGGGCTCCCTGTATGTATATTAACGCTTTCTCTTTGCCCACCTGCCACCCTTTTGTCTTCTGGAATTTCTTTTGGCTGATTTATTCATTCACCAAGTAGCCAAAGGCTCCTAAGAAGAAAGTCTCAATCATTTATTGGATGGACAAGCTCATGTCCGAGATGGTGAGTCATTATGACTTCATCTGTCTCAATCATGGGAGCATCAGTTTTCTTGTCTATGAAATGGGGATAACATTTATGACCTTATCTTCCCCTTGGAGACCTGTTGGGAGTTTGAGAAGTGTATCAGATGGGTTTATATAGAGACATAAAAGCATATTAACTGGCTTGGGATGTTTGACAGAAGCATTCCTGGCCCAGACGCTGTTGGAAATGCTCTTAGACACAGGCACTCATTTTTTACATGTGCTTTTCAAAAAGCTGTTTTCTCCTGATTGATGTGGTACATTATGGGAAATTTTAAATCTTCCAGCCTACCTACTACTGTTAGCACTTGACTAATTAAGGACATCCTTAGACCAAAATAATCTTTTATACGGTTTTGGTCCCAAAGCCTGCACTCTCACAAACCCGATTCACAAGCCAAGCTGCTTGGCTCCACGCCTGCCCAACTCGTACTGGCGGACTTGGCAGTCTTCTCTGGAACTGAGCAGAGCAAAAGCAGAGGCTTCTCATAGAATTGTGCATCAGAAATGGTTCTTACTCCACCCACCAGGATGGTGTCACCCAAGGAAACCAAAGTGGGGACAGGCTCCTAGACACCTGCTCTCAGGCCCCACATCCACCCAGTCACGTGGTTTGAAGGCAACACTCCTCTATTGGTTTGTTTCATCAGGACAAAATGTATGGCTGTATATGCTGCAGTCTGGGGCAGGCATGGAGACATGTACAGGCAATACATTTGTCTTTTGAATCTGCTTTCTGACATGGGCAGGCTTTCCAAAAGGTGGGAAAACATCTGTTCTATTTAGATATATGTGTGTCATAACTAATAGTTAAAAGGATTTACATGCTAACTACTCTAAGGCACATATTCCCGTGTTTTGACATGGAATTTAGGGTGTCTTTTTTACTAGGCTAGTGCTCTACCACTGATCTGCCTATTACCTGTTCTCTTAAGTGCCCAAACACTACAAATGGCATGTGTATAGAAGAAAAACTGAAACACTGAGAAAAATAACCCTAGTTTCACCCATTTGGGTTTGTGGAGATGAACAAGATATTTTTGTCTTGTTGCCTATTTTATCTATCTATCTATCTATCTATCTATCTATCTATCTATCTATCTATCATCTATCTATCTATCATATCTATCTATCTATCTATCTATCATCTAATCTATCATCTATCTATCTATCTATCTATCATCTATCTATCTATCTATCATCCGCAGCCCTGGAACTCTCTGTGAAGACCAGGCTGACCTCGATCTCACAGACATCTACTTGCTTCTGCCTCCTCCCATGTGCTGGAGTGCTGGGATTACAAGCATTGCTGGGTTAAAAGGCATCGCCACCACACCCAGCTCTGTCTTGCATTTTAAGGAAGGAAAACACTGTCTTTCTTTTCTTTTCCTTTTTTTTCTTTTCTTTTGAGAGGTGTTTTGTTTCCCTGGGTTTTTTGTTCTGTTTTGATAGATTCTATTCTGTGGGCAGTAAGGAGCTGCATGCAGTTTCTAAAGGACAACAATTATTAGAAGGTCTGATCCAAAGAGTGAATCAGCTGCTGTTTCTGAGTTTGCTTCACACCTGTTAACAAAAAATGTCATTCTTAATCCACTCCAAAATCAGATTAATTAAAAAAAATACACCTTCAGGGGCTGGAGAGTTGGCTCAGCTGTTAAAAGCACTGGTTGTTCTTACAGAGGACCAGGGTTTGATCCCCAGCACCCACATGGTGGCCAACAAGTCCTAACTCCAGTTCCAGGGGATCCAACACCCTATTCTCACCTCCGAGGTCATTGCACAACACGGGTGAAGTTATACACATGCAAATAATACACTCATACACATAAAATAAAATATTTTTTTAAAATATGTCTTCGGGTGTGCAAACTCTGCATTGTAGCTGCGTCCTATTATGCACACAAGGAAATGAAGGTGTGAATTTTTTGTTATTACTCTTCCATTGGGGTTTTGTGCAAGTTTCAGTAAACAGGCTTCCATCAGTTTTTATCAGAAGGACAATCTTCTGCAAAAGTGTCCAGAATGTTTAAATTTTACTTTCGTCACATTCGTGCAGTAGGGGAGAAATAGGTGCTACCACCTACCCGGGTGTCCTTCTGTGATGGGGACAAATTTGAATGAAATGTCTTTTGTCCTTCCATCTGGGGTTGGGATTTCACATTAAAGTCTTAATTATTCAGGCATTTCTCAGCTTTGATGTTTGAACTGACTGTTTCCTTTAGTGACTAATATTTTTCCTTTCCAAGTCCGAGTCTGTGAACTTGGCTCATAACCCTGTACCTCAGCCTTCAGAAAACAAGCTATGTGTAAAAGCTTTGACATCAAAGTGAAGTTCTACCACTCCTGAGCCCACCATGGCTAGCTATGATGCAGAGTGGACAAATTAAAGTAACACATGCGGCCTTGGTTTTATTTTATTCTTTAAAAAAAGAAACCTTTTGTATGTGGGTGAGTGCAGGCACCTGCATGTCTGTACATATGTATAAAGATCAGAGGACAACTTTGGATGTCAGTCCTCACCTTTCCACTGTGTTTAAGGGTCTCACACAAGTGTCTGTTTGCTGCTACATTAGCCAGGCTACCTGGCTGATGACCTGGAGATTCTCTTGACTCTGAATCTCATTTCCTACAGGTGGGCTGGGAATTCAGACACTTGCCATGCTACATCCAGGTTTTACCTGGGTTCTGGGATCTAACTCAGCTGTCAGGCCTGTGTAGCAAGTATTGTTATTCACTGAACCATCTTCCCAACCCAAACCTCAGTTTTCTTATCTGAAAACTGGGGCTAGTTATCGTTATCGGAAACTACAGAATGCACATAAATCCCCTGTATTGTGGTGGTGGAACACAGTACTTGCTATCCATAGATAGTAACAGTAGGTATCAGTAAATATCCTTTGTCATAGTTGGACACTTTAATTGAGCCCTGAGCTAAACTGGCTTTTCAGGATAATGGTGCTGTGCTCAGTCAGAGAGTAACAAGAGTGAAATAGTGGTGCCAGGTTTGTTGGCCCTTGCCAGTAATACCCTCACCTGGGCGGTTAAGACAGAAGCATTACAAGTTTGAAGTCAGCCTACATAATGGAACCTGATCTCCAAAAACAAAAATAAATAACTAAAAGGAGATAACATATCTATTTCTCTATTTTACACTATATATTTTTTCTAGTAGTCATTTTAGCACTTTGTTTTTTTAATTAATTTATTTACTATTCGGTAATACTGAGGATTGAACCCAGGCTCCCACACCATCCTGGCAGTCAGCAATTCACCACAAGAAAAACTAACATTGAATGTGATTTCTCAAGAGAGCCCAAGCTGTATAACAAAGATCATAGTCTGAATTTCTTCATTGTCTGAAAAGTGGACCTTCTTTTCGCTCCTATTTCTAAAAGTGGCCTATCTTACAGGAGTGACCAATTTTGAACTGCCTGAATAATACCAAGGATTCAAAATCCTTAAAAGCACTTTGGGCGTTTGACTACAAGGTTTTCAGCACAAATTCCCTCAAGGGGCCTCGTCATAGTGTGTGTCATCACTTGAGAGAGCGAAATTGGAGAATATTTCTTCTCTAAGAACTTTGCATTGCCCAGAGCACCTGCAACTGATAATATTTAAAGTTATGCCTTGTGTGATGATTTACTCTGTTTTTAAGCAAAACAACCAAATATCATTGGAGACTTTGACTCCTAAATTCTAGGCTCACCTGAAATGATTTTTCCTAAAGTTAAACCATACTGGAACTTGAATGGGGAGTGACATCTCTGTACTCCTAAAGAAGGGGAACAGTCCACTAATGAGGGAAAACCAGAGTGAAAGGAAACAACAACTGTTCCCAGAGTCTGGCAGCATGTAAGAAAGAACCCTTTTCCTTATGGACAACTGTTTTTAACAGCTGCTTTTTTTCTCTCTCTTCTTCACCCCCACCCCTCTGGAAATCTTTCTCTTAGGTTTTTGAGTCATGATGCAAGAATCTGGGTCTGAGACAAAAAGTAACGGATCAGCCATCCAGAACGGGTCAAGTGGTGGCAACCACTTACTAGAGTGTGGGGCGCTTCGTGACGCCCGGTCCAACGGGGAGGCACCTGCGGTAGACCTGGGGCCTGCAGACCTTGCCCACGTCCAACAGCAGCAACAGCAGGTACTTGCCTGGGAGTCGGGGTGTGGGTGGGAGTTCAGCCACTGTCCATGTTTTAGGTACATCTTTCTCTCTGTAAGCAGCATCTTCATAGGCACCAGCCTTCCATAGATCCTGGTGCCTGGCTTCAGAGATTCATTTTCCAAGCCTTGGGAGCATAGACCTAACATTGAGTGACTCTCAACACTTCACCTAAACTTTAACCCTTTGTTTAAAATTACTCTTTGGAAAAATGGCCATCTATACTTTAGATAAATGATCGAGAAATACAATAGTAATGAAAAAAAACAGGGTTAAGCCTTGTGAAGAAAAAAAATCAGAGATGAGAGATGAAAGAAATGAAGAGACACGGGGGAAAAAGTAGGTAAATGATGAGAATAGGAAAAAATAGAAATACAGGTGGACCTGGTAGATAACGGGCCTCTGTTTCTAAGGCAGGCCTCAGCCTGGGAAAAGATTTCCCCTACTTGGAAGAAGGGTATGGGTATTTGGATACATTTCTTGGATTCCTGGGGCAGATGCTGTTGGCTAAGCCTTAGTGGTGTTTTAACTCATCTCCTGTTGTGGCCTCTGCAACATGCTCTTCAGTTGGGATATTCTCATTCCCATTCTTCTCCTTCCATGGTATAAATAGGCCCTTGGGAGTGACTGGTGAGACATTTCTCAATGGTACAGGTGACCCAAGAAGACATGGTATTATGTTGGCAAAAATCCAATTTTAAATGCACTTCCTTGAAGACTGGCTTTGGCTTCCCAACCTCTGGGATCAGACAATATTGTGAATTTTTGTTACTGATAACAGACAGTGGTTATTGCATTTTTTTTCTGTCCTTCGTGCCTCTGTTTTGTTCATAGCTATGGTACTATTTGTAAACAGACATTAAAAAGAAAAAGAATGAGCTGATTTGGTGGTGAACTTCTTTAATCCCAGGACTTGGGAGACGGGCAGCAGATCTCTGTGAGTTCAAGGCCAGTCTGATCTACAGAGCCAGTTCCAGGCTAGCCAGGACTATATACTGAGACCCTGTGTCAAAAAATAAATACATAAATAAAACTAAAAAGAATGATACATCTTGGGAATTTCTGTAAGTTTTTCATAGAGAAATTGAGAAATGCTTTAAGAGAAGTAAATCTTTCAAACTGCTTTTTTTTAAAAAAGAACTTTATTACTTTTTAATGTATTTATTTTTATTTCCTGTGTATTAGTGTTTTACTTACATGTAAGTGCACGTATGTGTACAGTGCCTGCAGAGGCCAGAAGAGGGTGTCAGGTCCCCTGGAACTGGAGTTGCAGATGGTTGTTAGCTGCCATGTGGATGCTGGGAACTGAACCTGGGTCCTCTGCATGAGCAGCCAGTGCTCTTAACACTGAGTCATTTCTCCAGCCCCTCAGACTACTTTCTTAAAATCTGAATCTAAGATCCATTCCTGTTAGGCATAGAGCTCCTTGCTAAGACTTTTTCCCCCTTGGTTTGTTTGGCATCCTTTTATTTTTTTGGACAGATTCTCATGTCGTCCAGGCTGGTCTTGGAATGACTATATAGCCAAAGCTGACCATGAATTCCTGACCTCCTGCCTTCACCTTCCAAGTTGTGGGATTATAGGCATGTACTAAAATATAAGGGGTTCCTAGACAGTGGGCCCATTAAAAATTGGTAGAAGCAACATTCGACTGTGGAACCCGTCAGGTGGAAAAGGCAAGAAAAGAGAACAAAAGGGAAAGGGGCAGACTAGCCTCGTTTTAGTTCAGAGGCTTCCTGTGAGTGACTTGATCTCTTTCCTTGTCACCCCGACCATTTCTGCCTCCACCTCAGGCACCCTATGAGCTAGAATTTACGATGCTGGTGGTGTATTCATTTTGTACATTTAAATTAATGCAAATTGCTGAATTCTAACCAGTGAAATTGTTAGCAAAACCCAGCAGCAAATGGCAGTAGGGTATTAGTGCTAATGTACATTTATGTGATATTCTCAGCTATTGATGGTTAGATAAATAGTTGGTATTTTTTAGAGCGCATTTTCTATGCCATTACAAGAGAGAAGTCAAGATCTTTATGTATCTTTATGAAGTAGTTGAGATAGAGTTATTGACTGATACGATTTGTATCCCGAGTAATTAGTATTTAGAGTGCATTAGCTAAATAAATGAGTGATTGACTTCTTTTGAATTTTACCTGAAGAACTGACAAATATTCAGAATATTGAAATATTTAACCAAGGGGCCAGCAGGATCTCAGCAGGTAAAGGTGCCAACAAGTCTGAGGACCCAAGTTTGATCCTTGGAACCCACACTGTGGAAGGAGAGAACCAATTCCTAGAAATCGCCTTTCATCCCCCACCCCCAAACAGACACAGGAATGTAATAAACAGTTTTAAACAAAAACTAATTGCACAGATTAGATTTAATAGGCCTTAAAAAATAATAATTAAATAGAAGTGGGAGTAGTTAGGTGGGGGTGGAGGGGATCTGACTGTCATGAAAATACATTGTAAGCAAATCTCAATTAAACAAAAATCTCTTTAAACCAGCCCTAAAAATTTACATATTCAATACATCTACCGCATTCTCTCTCTCTCTCTCTCTCTCTCTCTCTCTCTCTCTCTCTCTCTCAGCAGTGACAAGTGAACTGCACATAAGAAAATTCTGGAAGCACATTTCAATCCATCTTCCTTAAAAATAATCAGTAGTATAACTAAGTTGTTATAATGTCTTCTTTACCTTGGCTATGATCATTTTAGAAAATTTGTTGTCATGGATATTGATACAAAGTTTAAGTATATCATTTTGATTGCATTTTGCAACTAGAAAAAATACTTCACAGTAATTTTCTGTCTATTGGCCATTGATATGTTTGAGGAAGAAAGATATCAGTTCGGTCTGGGATTGTGGCTAAAACCCCACTTTTTGTGGCCGGCAAACCCTTTTAGGCCTTTTAAAATAAAATGTTGACAGCTGTTTTGATTCCCTTATGTAGTTTCTTAACAGGTTGCTGGGGAAAAGGGAAATCTGTACGTGACGGAAGAAAAGGTACAGGCTTAAAAACACTTCACAGGCTTGAAGGTATCAGAGCTTTCTTCCACACTGAAAACAACACTTAAACAGCTTGGAGAAATTGTGAGTGTCACGGGTGGACCTGGGTGGTTTTCGTCATCTTTCTGCCGCAGGTTTTTACTTGAGAGACTACCAGCATGAGAAAATCCCAGCCATGCTGAATTCATTACCGTGGTAGTCACACAAAACCACGGATAAAATTTCAATAACTGCAGGCCACAGTTGAGTAAACAGTTGCATTGAAATTTAATTCCTGTTGACTTTTCCCCCATTCCTCGCCAGGGGCACATTCTGATTCTGTAGTACAAAGACAACAGGGGTTACAGCTTTGATTAATGTAGGACAGTGGAGGAGAATTAGAACTGTAAAATATGTCACAAGTCTATGGCACACAAAGATCTGGCTTCAGAAGGCCTGGTGTAAAAATGAGTTAATTACACCGGGAGTTAAACTGAATGTTATAGAATTTTCCACTTGCACCCGAGCCATGGGCGAGATAGGGGGAATTTAAAATAAGGAAATGCAAAGCTCCATGTTTGCTTCTTATTGCCATTCAGGACTCCAAATTATAGAAAGTGCCCTTTTCAGAAAGTAGGGCTCTGACGAAGAGTCACTCCTATAGCAGTTTCACAGGTTTCCTAAGTCCCAAGTTGAATTTGTTTTAAAGAATTGTCTAGTTGACAACCTGGAGAAATGGGAGGAAGCATGCTTTTTCAAACTCTCTTGAAAAATCAGAATATCTGCTAACCTTGGGCGACTGTCCCACAAGGGCAGCAGCTGTTGGGAGATGAATTGCCACTCCAGACGGCAAGCCTGCACCCTTATAGTTCACCGTGGTTTCTACCCAGCAGAATGCTGCTCATGCCCTCTAGGTAGAGGAAGAGGATGCTGGTCTGGAAGACGCATCATCACTCAGAAGCTACCAGTCCAGGAGAGGTGCTGCCATTAGTTGGAGGAGCCCGCCAACACACTCTGAACTGTCTTCCTTCCTCAAAACTAAATATATTATCTATAATGTTTCAGCTCTATTTATATCTGGGCCCTGAAACTATTACAACAATGGCTTTCTAATAATGTAATTTGATAGTTTCTGAACATTCCCTTGCAGTCCTTGAGTAATTCTTTACCCCATGCCATGACTGCTCTTTACTTCCTCTTAAGCCTGCCCTGTTTCTGTCTGTAAGTTCTGTATTGGGGATCGCCTACTCCATTATGAAACTCAGCAACAAATACTATTACCGATTGTTCAAGTTTTTTTCTCTCCCTTAAAGAAAGGATTTTAAAATGTCCAGAGCAATTTCATAAACTGTGTGGATTAATGCAATTTAAAAGTCTTGAATTTTAGAAAGCAGAATTTTATTTCCATATTGCTGCAAATGAGAGCGTTTTCAGATAAGCATATTACATAGAACATAATGTTTAGAAGTTTCTCCATATACAGCATATGCTGTCAGGTCAATTAACAGAATGCATACTAGAAAATGTTTATTCAATAAAAATGAATAGCTGTTAAATAAAACAGCTATTTCTTAACAACATTCCTTTTAATGATGGGTGCTTTTGGGGGGGGGAATAAATTTTTTGGTACCACCAAAAATTTATTGTGTGTAAGTCACCGCACAGAGTGCTATGGTGGCTGTGGTTTGAGATGTGGCTGACTTTGTGTATGAAGAGAGCAGTTTATAGGGAGTCAGTGAGAAAGTCATTTGAGAAAGATAAACTGTTCTTGCAATTTGGGTAAGGCTTATTTAAGGACTATGTACATGAGGTACTTATTTTGTACAGTTTTTTTGACATTTGGTTGAAAATGTTGGACTTTTTGGTCCAAAGAGAGAATGCATGTTTCAAATAAACAAAAGGAGAAATTAGTCAGTGACTATCAGGAAATAAGAAAGGAAAAAGGGTAGGGAAGCTCTCTTCAAAAAACCCTGGGAAGGAAGAAAAGTGACCC